GAGTATTTAAGTAAAACAAGTAACTGAAAATCTGTAAACTATGCATTCTTTTGCAAAATTTTATTTAATAATTTGATATAGTTTAAAACATTTTTTTATCCTAGGAGATTCTCTGGCTTTACTATTCAATATGAAATACTTTATCAACCCCCAGATTGACCTAGTAAAATAACATCTTTCCACATGTGTGTTTTCCACAAATAGTAGGAAGATAATATTACAGTACTTTAATAAACATTTAATAGCTATGCTTCATCTCCCTTTGGGAGATGAATGTGCTTTTGAAATCTTCCGTTATATTTTAAGCATTTGAGCATTGCCCAAATGCTTACAGGTAGCATAACATCTTTTGAGTGGCACATATTGTGTTGTACAATACTTAATAATAATATACCTATAACATAAAAAATAGAAAAAAGATATATAAACATTAATTTTCCAATCAAACTGGTAATAAGTTTTTCTTTTTTCATATTAGCTAATGGTAGTTACATTGCTATGAAATACTATACAGTACTTTAAGACAGCATATTACATGGAAAACCAATGCAAAAAAAAAAAAAAAAAAAAAAAAAAAAAGATTTTCCTAACCATGCCTATTCTTCTGGAAATATTTGAGTTATTCAGTCAATATCAAATTGTCTCCCCCCTGTTAGCAAGCCTTTCAATTTATTATTTTTTAGCTGGCTTGTGTTATTATGGAGCATTGTGATAATGCTAGTGCAGTGATAGTTGATAGCTTAAGTCCTAAGTTCATTATGCTTATCACAATTTTATCACAGAACAGTAATACATGTAATATTATTTATGCTCGAGGTCTTAAGCCTAGTCATCCGTAGAGTAAATAATAAGTTTGTAATCATAATACAACTTTGCATTATGATGAATTGGACATGCAGTATAGCACTCTGGAATTAGTTATATAGTACTTGTGAATTAGCCATACAATATTGGGAATTAGCCATACAATACCCAGGAATTAGGTATACAATACTTGGGAAATGGGTATACAGTACTTAGGAATTAGTCTTATGTGATTAATACTGCATGATAATACTACAGTACTGCATTTTATCTTAACAAAAGCAGAATCACTTTACTGTACAAACTAGCCAGCGGTCAAGATATCTTATCACAACAACTAAATTGAACTATTACATTTGATTAAAAATGTGTGTTCATGTACTTTACCAAGTACAATTTAATATAATTTTGAACAAATTTGTGTAGGCTCTCTCCAACTCTATAAATTTGCTTTAAAATGAAAAGGGATTTATACAATTGTTGCCATTGTTACTAGATGAGTTACCAATACTAAAATATTACAAAATTTACCTATAAAACATTAGTTGCTGTTAAACTTAGGATTGCACATAGCTGAGAAATTTCAATGCATAATTATTGAGTTATTGTTGGAAAAAGACACCATTCATTGACCTAAACTACAGTATTTACTAGTGAAATTGTTTAGGGATAATATTTATCATATGATATGTATACAGTACTTCACTGAAAAAGTATATTACAGTACAGCAGGCTAATGTGCTGTATTTGTAAACACTTGTATTATATTAAGTGTTTCATTACAAGGGTGCAAAATAGCATATTAAATACATTACTCGTTTGAAAATCTTTATGTATAAACATCGGCACAAATATACAAAAGGGCCGAAAGAGCCAGAGCTCAACCCCCCACAAGCACTACTAGGTGAATACAACCATTGTTTTGTTGAGGAAACGGGACCAAAGAGCCGAAGCTCAACCCCCGCAAACAACTAGGCAAGTACTATCCAGCTTAACATTACCTACCCAATAAAATATGGGAGTTTGCTATCAAAGTGTTGACTGGAATACAGTATCAGGAATGTGGCTAAAATTACAGTACAGTATAGAGGTTTAGGCCTACATTGGAACAAAAGCCATTTGAAATCGTTTAGAAACCGAGTGAATTATATTGTTGTAATGTCAAACTTTATCTGCAAAATGATTGGAAAATTTAATGATAAAATTAAAATATAATTGTAACTAAAATACAGCACTGAATTCAATTTTTTATTTGTAAGGATAGCAAGTTTTAAAGGCTAATGACAAAGATGATTATTACAAATAAATGAATATAAAGAAAAAGGTTACATTACTTCAGATTAAAACTCACTTGGAAAACAAAGTTTCCTACATACCATGAACTCACCCTTGTCTTCCTTTTGGGAGCCAAAACTGCCTTTGTCATAATAAACTATTTAAAATACTGATGATCATATGAATCAAAATACTGTACTGTAATAAATTATATTAATTTATAGGCTTTTCATAATTTGAATTGATCATAAGGATTTTTCTTTTCATTCAACATACAACTGTATATACAACTGGAAACTGGAACATTTTGGAGGGGTAACAGGTAAGCTTCTATAGTGGCTGAAAAAAAATTTTGATAGAAAAGTGAGGGCAGTAATCAGAGGCAATGTATCGGACTGGAGAAATGTCACAAGTGGAGTACCACAGGGTTCAGTTCTTGCCCCAGTAATGTTCGATGTATACATAAATGATCTCTCTGATTGAATACAGAATTATATGAACATGTTTGCTGATGATGTTAAGATAATAGGAAAGATAAGAAACCTAGATGATTGTCATGCCCTTCAAGAAGACCTGGACAAAATAAGTATATGGAGCACCACTTGGCAAATGGAATTTAATGTGAATAAATGCCATGTTATGCAATGTGGAATAGGAGAACATAAGACCCCACACAACCTACAAATTATGTGAGAAATCTTTAAAGAATTCTGATAAGAGAGAGATCTAGGGTGGTTCTAGACAGAAAACTATCACATAAGAACCACATTAATTTAAGAACATTGTGCGAGGAGCCTATACTACACTTTCTAACTTCAGAATTGCTTTTAAATACATGGATGGAGACATACTAAAGAAATTGTTCATGACTTGTTAGACAAAAGCTGGAATATGCAGCAGTTGTATGGTGCCCATATCTTGAGCGCTACAACAAACTGGAAAAGGTGCAAAGACATGCCACTAATTGGCTCCCAGCACTGGAGGAGAGGTTAGAGTCATTAAATATGCAAAAACCAGAAGCTAGAAGAAAAAGAGTTGATATGATCACTACGTACAAAATAGTAACATATCGATAAAATTGATAGGGAGGAATTCCCAAGACCCCGGAACTTCAAGAACAAGAGGTCATAGATTTAAACTAACAAAACAAAGCTGCCGGAGAAATATAAGAAAATTCACTTTTGTAAACAGAGTGGTAGAGAGTTGGAACAAGTCAGGTGAGAAGGTGGTGGTGGAGGCCAAAACCGCCAGTAATTTTAAAGCGTTATATACGACAAGAGTACTGGGAAGACGGGACACCACGAGCGTTGCTCTCATCCTGTAACTACACTTAGGTAATTACAAGGTATATATATACACTGTGTGTGTGTGTGTGTGTGTGTGTGTGTGTGTGTGTGTGTGTGTGTGTGTGTGTGTGTGTGTGAGTGTTAGTGTTATCTATTTTAATAAGAATATCAGATCTACTAACAACCCTGTCCATCTTTCAGGCACTACAGAGTGCTGTAATTTATACACGTGCTGTATTGTATACACATGCATACATGGCAATGTGTATATATGCTGCAATGTATACAAATACTAGTCCAGGAATTTAAACAAAAAGTATATTATAACACTTGACATTTTTCATGTCACAAAAAATCTCCTTTACATTTATATATATACAGTATACTGTATATAAATTTAATTAGCCATGGGTAATAAAATTACTTTATTGATTTTAGGTCACTTCTTATAAACACATAAAACTTTCATGATTACTCTATTGTATCATTTTGTGGAGTAAATTTTATAGCATTTAATAATTTGAGACTTCAATTTATTAATAATTATTCTGTCTTATTTATGAGATTTATCTAAAGGACACTACTACCTTTAACGCAATACTGTACTGCAGTCATGTAGCCTAAAACACATTAATAAAACTAGTCGGCAGAAAGAACAGTGAAGTCCTCTCCAGCTAACCATTTGTAATTATGAAAGAACTACTGACAGGCATTTTGAGTCTTATTGAAATCAGATCTGTAAATCAGATCTGTAACACTAGATGGGTACCTGCCAGTGACCAGGTGTATGTTTCTCTTGGAACCTACAATCCCAGTAAACATACAAATTTACCACAATCTTAGTTTTACTATTGTTGCTTTGATACATAATAACAGGGTAGTTACAAAATGTGATTGTGCTGTGGGTCTGTGATGGGATATTATTTTACAGCTCAAAAACTGCTGAAAAACTTTTACAGAAAAACTACTGTTTTAGGCTTCATGGAAGTTGCAATAGCAGTTTAATCTTCTTAAAGAGGAGCCATGGTACCAACCCTGACCAGCCTATGATGAATAGGCTACTGCTACCTTCTTATGCTGAAATAGTATTTATGTGCATGTTAACGTATTGCACATTATCCTGTTAAACAATATCTTTGAATTTTTTACCAACAAAGAACCATGACACTACTACAAAACATTGTACACAGATTTACTGGATATGATTTGGACTAATCTGTAATGTAGTAAAGCTCTGAAGCAGAGTTGTCTCAAAGTGAGTATTGTACAGTATTTTAAATTTGTAATATATTGCTTAAGGTTTACTGAAACCATTTAAAATCATGTGAATACACACATTATTCAGTCACATAAATGTCTTAATAGAATCTTTATCTTATGATAGATTCCATTAATAATAAACAACCATGGACATCTTCAAGAGAAAACTAGATAGTTTTCTTCAAGGAGTGCCGGACCAACTGGGCTGGCTGCTCCAAGCAACAGCCTGGTGGACCAAACTCAAGTCAAGCCTGGCCTCAGGCTGGGCTTGGTGAGTAGAAGAACTCTCAAAACCCCATCAAGCAGATAATGTAGTTGGTTGATTACGCTGAGTGGACAGCGCTCGGGATTCGTAATCCTAGGGTCTGGGGATCGATCCCCGGCGATGGCCGAAACAAATGGGCAGTTTTTCACCCTGATGCCTCTGTTCACCTAGCAGTAAAGATACCTGGGAGTTAGACACCTGCTATGGGCTGCTTCCTGGGGGGGGGGGTGTACGTACGTGTGTACGTACGCGCGCCGCAGGGAAAAAAAGGCGATCGACAGTCGAGAGACGAGCCGAAAGAGCCAGAGCTCAACCCCCGCAAGCACAAGGCAAATACAGTTTCTTAAGTGCTTTGATCAAGACTGACATTCTCATTTATTCAAGTAATTGGTGCTATGTTATTTCTATTACTCTACTTGTTACAACTTTCCCAGATACCATAATATACAAACTTATTGAATAACCAGATGTATAAAGTTTTACATCAATATCTGAAAACAGTTGATAAATCAGGGAAATGATGGAATTAGAAGATTCTACCCAAATAAATAAAATTGCATACTTTCTATAACTAAAAAGTTCTGGAAACTGCAGTTTTATGACAGGTAGTTAAACGTGTGAATTGTGAAAGAATGAAAAGGTTCCTTGCAGATTAGCTAATCAAACTTGTGTCTACTGGAATATTTGTGCAACTAAGTTATAATGAATAACTCATTATGTATGACAGTACAGTCTAATGTATAGTAGGTGGAAATACCATATAAATATAAGCCATCGGGGAAAGGAAGGAGGCTACATGGGAGTGACTTGTTGGCTGATCTAAAGCAATTATGGGCAACCACGGCCTGCCAGTTTATATTTTGCAAATCATGATTATAAAATCATGATTAAAAAGATAAGAATTAAACAAATTACCGGTGTGTTTGTTTTTGTTGATCACTTTCAAGTGACCTAGTGATAAATACTGCAACTTTGTTATGAGCATGCTAGTTATGATATATATTTACATGATCATCTTAATAAATTTAAAAATCTATCTTTTTGCAGTTATTGTACTAAATATGCCTCGCTTCAAACTATCAAACCTTTTCTAACTATTCACTTGTATTTACAAAGCTACAAGAACATCAGTGATAGTGCTGGAGTTATACAGGTAGTAATACTGAAAATTATACATAAATTTCTGTTTAGATATACCGTATAGTTAACAGAATTACTAATTGCTACTTCCTGTCTGCAGTATGTTTTACTGACAAGCATTACTATTCTCACTACACATATGTCCAGATATGCGTGTGGAAAAATGGCACCGATGATAAAAACTATGTAGGCTACGTTCAGCCTCTACAACTGCTGTCAACAGAAGTTATACTTTTGTGGTGAAGCGTAAGTGCAGTACTGTACTACAATACCTCAGAGAATGTATCCAACTACTTGTACCATAAATAAAAATATGGAAGAGCAGATATGCCTAAGGATAATTCAACTTGGTGAGGTAACAGTGAGCACTTACAGGATTTCACTAGAACCTGCTAATTTTAAGAGCAGACCCATTTGTTGATGAAAAACACTTACTGGCTGCCGTGGTTGCCAGCTTCTGAATGTTGTCATGCCATGTGCTCGTCTGATTTTTCGTCGTCTTCTTGGCTGTCTCTATCCCCTTCTGTATCAGACTCTTCGGCATCTGAGTAGCTGCAAAATACTTCTTGTAAAGATTCCTCGAGTACTTCTTCTTCTTTCTGACTGAGTCGACGAATTGGTGTGCAAAGTTTGATGTGCTTTGATGGTGGTTTGTAGAAGTTCCCTTGTAGGAGAGGTGCAAACTCCCTTTGATCAACTGAAGGAAGAGAGTTGGTTGGAGAGCTGGATGGAGAGTTTATGTCATCCCGAACTGAACTGCTGCTACTGTTGATATCTGGTGCTGCCACTTCATCCTCAATTGATTTAACAAGAGCAACCAAGTTCAGCACCTCCCGAAGTGAAAGAGTAACTTCTTTAGGCTGACACTGTACAATATGTTGTGAATGGGCTGGCTCACCTGAACCAAAGCCATTTCTATTTAAGATACCAGATAAGGTTTTTGAAAATTCGTGTTCATTTGGAGACTGGGCAATGACATTTCTGATTGATGGGACAGCCTCTGACCTGACAATTACATTGACGTCCAAGAGTTGGGATAAAGTGAGGGCAGGCTCCAGCTCTCCTTGTGAATCACACGTGTCTGTAAAGAGAAGATGCAGTTCTGTCAAATATGTTTTTAGCAGATATTTTAAGCCCTTTATATCTTAGGGTTGTTTCATAACGTGTAATGTACAAAACATAATCCTGATAAAAAAACTTATAAAATGTTGATAGCCAGAAGAATTTTACCTAAGATTATCATCATTTATGTTGACTGAAAAGGCAAGATGGATATGAGATAACTGCACAAGGAAAAAATATTGCTGGGATACGTTCCTTGATAACTATAAAACAGTCTTATGTCTTCATCAGTAACCAAGTTTCCGCTTGATAAATGTGTCCAAGATTGTAATGTCATGCCTGAATTGAGTAGGTGGCATTTATAGTCGAGATGAAGAGCTATAGTAGTCTTGCAAACTGTAGGTGGCATTATCATACTGAAGGTCTAATTTATTTATTTAGATGCAAAAAGGTTTGCGAGAGTACATGACAGTGTTCTCATGTTGACCAAACCACACACTAGAAATTGAAGAGATGACGACGTTTCGGTCCGTCCAGGACCATTATCAAGTCGATTGTGATGAGACGAAGGAAGCAAGGGCAATAAATAATAGGCAAGAGAGGTGAGGAGATGGAATTCTTAGAAGAAGAGCAAGGCAAAAGGTATGGAAGATAAGATGTAATAAAGGATGTAATAATAGGAATAAGAAAGGGATCATAAGAGAAAACAAAAAAAGAAAGAAAAAATAAAAGGAAGGGTAGGCTTATGTTAGGTCATGTTTGTTAGAAATTTTAGAACATTTGAGTATACAGTATACTGTGAAAGGGAAGAGTCAACAGCAACAAAGCCACGACTCGGGTTCATGTTGGGTAGGTTGTGTATCAGCTGATTCGTCAAAACAGCGTCTGTGTAGCGTCTCTTATCTATGTATAGGCCAAGGAACTTTCCATTTTTATTGCTAATGTTAACATTGTCTATCTGAAGGTGAATTTGGTTTGATGATTTACTTCCAAATAAAATGTACTAGGTGTCTTCTATGTTTAGTATAAGTATGTTGGTTGACATACACGAGTGGATTTTTTTTTAATTTGTTATTTACAATATTATTTAGTGTGTGGGGGTTGGGGTCTGAACTGATAAAGGTAGTATCATCAGCAAATGGTATTGGTTTAAGAATGTTAGTGGCATTTGGCAAATCATTGCTGTAGATAAGAAATAGGAGTCCTAAAATGCTGCCCTGTGGCACTCCTATAGTTAATGGTAGAATGAGGGAGGTTATGTCATCTTACAAACAGACAGACAGCATTCAAGAAATACAGTAATATTTTGCATCAGTTTCAAAAGGCAGTTATATTGTGAAGAACTGTATATTGTTCTTGCCTTATACAAAGTTCTCATTTCATGTTTTTATTATCTAAGCCTCCATGTAGTCTCCTCCTGGAGCTTGGCCTATTATCTAAGCCTCCATGTAGTCTCCTCCTGGAGCTTGGCCTAACTTTTCAAGCATATCGTATAGGAATTAAACTTAAATTTTAACTGTACAAATATATACAGGTAAAAAAAATAAATTCTGGTGTAAGGATAACTTACCACAGTATTTCAATACAAAATTTGGAATTACAACCAGTTTTACAATACTGAAGCCACTTGTGTGCTAACACTTTCAAAAGCTTTAAACACATCTTAATTTAAAGTCTTGATTAAAATAAAACATAAAATTAAGAGAAGTATGGCAATTCTTCTGACCTTCTTGGGCACTGGGCAGGAGACTTGGCTTGCGAGAGGGTTTGCGAGATGGTCTCCTGGAATCGAGAACGTCTGCCACCTCCACCATAAGGGCCACCATGCCAGCGTCTGTTCCTGGTTCATCTTGCTGCTCACCTGCACGAACTCTCTGGGATACTACCTGTGAAGCAGAGCATAATTAATACATTAAGAAATCTTTGGCGACACGATAGGAAAAATCAAATCCCATCTTTATTCAATAAATATAAAAGCAATACAGTATTTATTTAACAGCATATGTACAGTATTTCAGTACAGGTACAGCGATTTGTGCAGGAAAAAATTACAATCAGGCAATATGAAGTGCACATCATGCAGGAGCAAAGTGCATTATCAAGTCACATCACTTTGAGCAGTCGTCTGAGGCATGCATTGACCTCATTTGAAATGACGTGCAAACTGGTATCAGAATGATCAGTTTTCCAGTACATTCAACCTTTCAAGTCTTGATGGTGTACTGTAATTACATTAATTATGGAGCAGTTCCTCTAGATATGTTAATCTGTTATGCAATTAACAGTTTTATACAATAGTCCTAATTATCAAGTTATTCATTTTAAACGGGGAGTGTCAACTGATTGTGTAAATAAGGTATGTTTGGAGTCCACTGGCAATTAACTGTTGTGCTGTAGATTAATTTAGGGGGAAGTATGGCTCAATTTATATTATCAGTACGGTATTGGTTCTGTAGTAGACATTTTCAAGTCAGGACATTTTTAATCATCCACAATAGATTTCAGGGATTTATTATCCTCGGTTTTGCTCCAAACCATTTGTAATTTTCAACTAATGATTGTGACATGCTAACAAGACAGACAATCAGGGCAGTAGACTAGTAGAATCGTCTACAGGAGTACAGTATGGTCTATAGATAGCTTGGAACAGCCACAATAGCATTATATCTTAAGCTGCATTCGAGGAAATAATTAATTTTCCGGTATACCCCTCATTGTGTACCTTTTTTTATTATAAAGAGAAAGGAATATTTATGTAATTATAGTATATATAACATGAAACTGAAGCTCACAATTAATTTAACTTAAACCTCGAGATATATGTGGAGCAACGTGATCCCACAAATGTCCTGATATAATCAAAGCCACTGATCCAATAAGGATCCACGTGTCTAGGCTCACCACGAACTCGCTTCACATATTGCGTGATTTACCCAGGAATCTGATAGTGGAGTCGCTGAATGTCAGCTGGGTGGTATGAGGTTGTGAGTGCACAACCTCAAGGTTCTAGAGTCGTGATTGGTGGGGAGCTGGAGCCATACAATCTATGCATGGATGAGCAAAATGGGGCGGATAGAACGGCTGGGATTTATATCTGAAGGTGTTGGTAATATCTAGATGTCTGGAGTTTGTTCACTTCAGTTTTATCTAGCCCTTGTAGGGCCCCTTTTGTGTTTAGTTTTGGTTTCTGTACTATGGAGTAGTTATGGGTTCACTTGAACACTTACAGAGAAGGTTGGCAAAGTTAATTCCAGGAATTGAGAACCTCCTTTGTAAGAAAAAATGAGAGCATGATAGGTGGATGAAGGGATGTATGGGGAGGGATATAGGTAGGGTTCAGGTGTATCAACACAAAACAGTCGATATCGGTTGGATGGGTTTAGATTTGGGAAATACTAGGGTAAATAATGGTTTGGAAATAGGGTTGTTGAGTTATGGAACAAGTTACTAGCTAACATAGATATGGGTTCATTGGATTGTTTCAAGCGTTGGTTAGACATATATACATATGAAGTATATATGTCGGTTTAAATAAGAGAGCTGCCTTGTATAGGCCAATAGCCGATGCAATTTGAATGGCAGACGTTTTTGTTCCAACAGAAATCTTTCCACTTTCAAAGCAGGTCCATATCTTACAGTGATAATTTATGGATTATGGGAAACCCCCCTTGCAAGACGCTCTCGAAGATAGGTCATGGGACTCTGAGGGAGAAAACGAGATCTACGCATCGGCGTCACAGAATATTCAACAGAGTAGATCTTCCCTGTTGAAAAACGGGGAGCACCGTGTAGGGAAATTGACTTTCCTGCTGGGGGTCATGTTCGTGCTCCTCGCCGCCCTAGCAGGCCAGCAGAGCTCATATCTACGGGGCCCAACCTCCTTAAATCACTTTCAAGTCTTAATCAAAATCTCTACTCTTAAGACTTGAGTGACTCGTCCGAGCCAGGTTTCACGATGAGAGACAATAGTGTAAAAGTAAGAGATAACTGTGCAGCAATAAGAGACAACTGTATACCAATATGACACTAGTGTGTGACAAGAGACAGCAGTGTAGCCGTGAGAGACAGGTGAGCAGCAGTGTATGTAATAGATACGAGACAACTGCATATGGGCGGCAGGTGAACATTTATTTATCGGGTTTAGGTACTGTACTTTTTTATTGCCATTCATATCCGAAACTATATAAATATATATAAATATTTGTTTATCTCATTTGTCATATTTAATATTACATGTAAACATTCAATAATAACCATGTACTGTATATACCTTACAAAATTTAACTTTAGTAATATTTTAGGTTTTTATTTAGACCCCCCTCCCCCCCTCAACATTCACATCATGTTTTGTCAAACACTAAATAGGTTGAGGCTTCATATTCAGCCCGTCCTCCTAAGGTTTCTCAACGTCAAGAAATTGTCGTAGTAAAGTGCCCCCTTATCCTAACCTTCCTGAGGACCCAAAACAGAAAACTGGACAGTACGTCAATTTTGCGAAGCCGCTGCCATTTACTACAGTTTTTCGCCTTGGGTAGAGTATACGTCAATATGCGACGTTCTATTAAGAGGACGGGTCGTCATACTGGAAAATATATTGAGTGCGCGTGTGTGAGTAAGGTGTGAAGGTCAGACATGCAAGTAGCAAGCACTGACATGGGCAGAGTCTGCAACCTCGCTCCCTAAACACTAACTTTATCATCTCAAAAAACGAGCTCTTGCACCGAGGCAATCTCTTGGCTTTTACTTACTTTTAACTTATGAACAAGATTGGGAGCAATCCTGGTCTCACTAAGACTGCTAAATTTCGACGGACGAAGCTGGGATGGGGGAGATATACGCAAGTGATAAGGGGACTGAAAAGGTGAAATATAGTGAGAAAGGTGAAAATAGTGACACCCGTATCAGTTTTTCCATAGCCAATTTTTGAAAGTAATGAAATGAAGCATAGTTGCAAGAATTTTGAAGAAAGCCTATTATATATAAATATGTTAGTGACAAAATACACATGCTTCTTTCAACTGATACAGTGCAGCCTGTATCGTGAATATTATTTAAAAACACACATTTACACTTAACAAAAACATGTAGTGTATGCAGAGAATGGGAAACACGGAAGTGTGTTAGGGACCAACATTTATATTAAAGAATCTTTACAGAACTTCCCAGTAAACTCGTGGGTTTAACGTTCTACAATGCCAGATTCAGGTTACAGTTCAGTCATGGAAATACAGGAATTAAGATGAAGCAGATATGTGAGGTGCAGACATTAAAGATGAAATGTGCGATTTTCTTGCATAATAATAAGAGTTCCAACTGTCTGGTAGCCGTCAAGCTTAAGTAAATTACGAATGTGTATTAAACATTTTGCCAAATCTGCTTGTAGCTTCCCAAACCATTACAACTTCACGGATGTGTTTGTCCATTTCCATCTGCATCCGACTGAATGCAAAAGTCAGAAACAAGGTCGAACTTAAAATGATTTAAACCATTTGAATAAACATTTCTTTGAAGTAACTTACCTTACCAACCAGTTGCCTGAAGAACTCCGATTGTCTTGTAATTCTAGTGGACCTTCTAATTGATTTCTTGATTCTTTGAGGAACATTCTTTCTTAAAGCCTTTTGCAGGAAACTATGTAGTAGGAACCAGTAGCCGAGAGCCAGCATAATCCATACAACAATTCCCATTTTGTAGAGGTCCTGATACTGTATGTCCGCATTATAGCCTAGTGGTGGAAATTGGGAGATCAAACAAATTTTAGCGATACATCATGTGATAATGGAAGGTTTTGCCTATCTATGGCTACCAGTGAATCATATTCACCAGTAGCCATAGAGTAGCAGCATAATCAGACGGTGAAAATATGTACAAAAAGAAATATATAACAGTAATATAGAACCCTTCAGTTATAAGGGATTATACAAATTTAACGTTTATCGTGGTTTGGAGTAAGTAAGAGGAAGCCGGTGCGTGGCAACGTTTGACCCACATAACCTCAGCAAGTGAGGCGTTAATCTGTGTTAATAAAATTACCAAAATCCTGACACGCCATCCTCATTTTGCATCAAGGATCTAAATCAACTCTTCAGAAATTGCACTTAACTAATTCAACCGTGTAATATTCAGTTTTAATTATCACATACACCGAGAATCTGAAGAAGACTGTAATATTCGTATCCCTTTTTCCATTTCATATAATAATATTTATTATTATTTAATAATAATAATAATAATAGATGTGGGGTCCAAGAATTACTTAGACTGAAGTGAATATTAAATGTTATAATTGTGGTTGTACACTAAAGGAAGGGTCCCATTGTTACGAGGACTGACCTGACTCGTGGATGGGTCGAGGGAATGGTGCCTTGTACTGTTTGTATAACAATATTAACTGGCAAATTCCAAGCACATAATTATGTAAATGTTTGACTGAACAGACTACAAATTGCCGTGTCAGATGTTGATCCAGAGAGCAATATTAAGCTTGGCGTTGCGCTCCCTGGGTTCGTATCCTGGCCGGGGAGGATTTACTGGGCGCAAATCCTTAACTATAGCCTCTGTTTAACCCAACAGTAAAATAGGTACTTGGTTGTAAAACAATTTTTCGCGGGGTCGTATTCCAGGGAACATAGGATTAAGGACCTGCCTGAAACGCTACGCGTACTGGTGACTGTACAAGAATACAAGAACTCGTATATAAATAAAAATAAAAAATATTCATACATGCTTTGACTTTTATCGAGGTAACCCCCCCCCCCCCCCCTTTCCAAAGGCCGAATTACTGACCCCGCCCATGATACAACCCCACAACACGCTAACTCTTGACTACCTACTCACTGCTAGGTGAACAGAGCAATAGGTGAAAGTAAATGTGCCCAACTGTTTCTGTCCCACCTGGGATTCGAACCCGGAATTCTCGATTGTGGGTCGAGAGCGAACCCGACTGCACTACCGGGACCTTAACATCCTCTGATCCCGGGTTCAATACCAGGGCGGTATAGAGACGCTTGGACAAGCTTTCCTTTCGCCTGATGCGTCTGTTCTCTTAATAATAAATTGGTACCCGGGAGTTAGGCAACAGCTGTGGCCTGCGTCCTCGGGAAGATCAGCAGCTGGGCCAGGAGTGGCTGCGTGGAACACAGCGGTGCTCGTCTGAACGTCTGAGGATCTTACCAGCAATCAGGTCTCCGAAACCAATGGTGCTGAGGGTTATGAAGGTGTAGTAGAGAGAGTCCTCGTAGCTCCAGTCCTCCAGCTTGGAGAGCACCACCGACGGCAGGAACATGAAGACGATGAAGCCCACGCTCAGGAACATCAAGGTGATGCCGTACAGCAGCGCCTTCTGGTGCCGCTGGTGACGCTTCTGTAGGGGACACGAACCTGGTCAACACCAACACATCATCATCTCACACACTTTAGTGTCAGTAGTAAACAAATGGAATGCATTAGGCAGTGATGTGGTGGAGGCTGACTCCAAACACAGCGTTAAGTGTAGACATGATAGAGCCCAGTAGGCTCAGGAACATGTACATTGGTCCCGCCTCTCAACGGTCAATCAACTAAAGAGCCAGAGCTCAACCCCAGCAAGCACAACTAGGTAAGTACTACTAGTTAAGTACACTCATTAACAGTTGAGGCTCAACTCTACACTAACACAACGAGCCGCACTACAACTAGCTACTAGAACGGTAAAAACACTAGGAGGAATTATTTTCTGTGATTCAACATCTGCTTGTCAAGTATTTCAAAACTTCTGCAAGATGGTCAGCAAAATCCTCATAGTAGCAATCACAATTATAAATAACCAACTCGATGCACAGGATAAAAGGATTAGAATAGCTTTTGTATAGCTTCACTCTCATAAATGAGACGACACCACGATGACACATATAAACCAAATTACATGCAACAAGGATGAAATTGAACTTGACCCCATCTCTGTTAGGAGAACATTGCTCCAAACATTCAGGTCTGTCAGGAGACAAATTCAAAACACACCTTCAAAAGCCTGAAAGTGTAAACACTAATTTTTACACTAGTGTAAAAAGTTATGATTTGCTTAGATCTGAAACCAATGAATACTGTCAACACCAAACGTCTACCAGATAATCCGAGTTGCTACAAGGGACAAGTAGTCTTCCAACCCCGAGTATTCCATGAGTAAACTCTGCGAGCATGAACTCTAGATCTTTCACACTAGAGTACATTAGTGAGTATCCAGCCAGATCCTTCAGACCTGCCGGCATGGGGTACCTGGAGCTTTGTAATTACTTTACTCACTCTCGTGTTCTGGAGGATATCCTCATAGTGCACCCACAGTCTGCCAGTGCACATCGCATGCCCCTGCATGATTAATCATCCTGCAAGATGGGGACTTCTTAACATCACGTCCTGGGTAAACCCCCCCCCCCCACCAGGCACGCGCACGCACGCACACACGCACACACACGCACACACACGCACACACACGCACACACACACAAACACACACACACGGACCACGAAATACACCCAGTGGACAACAATATGCCCAGAGGTTATACAAAGACTGTCTGGAGGGCGCCATCACCTGCAGCAGGGGGCGTGTGTGTGAGCGGTGACCCATAAGACTGGCTGGCTACCAGCTTGGTGCCTCAAGACTACTCCTGTTGCGTCTGGACGGATCCCAGCTTGTATAATCATTTGGCACCTCGTGGGCCCATGGCGCGTGTCTGAGGCTACCCAGGACGCGTGTCTGAGGCTACCCAGGACGCGGGTTCGATTCCCGTCAAGCGCCAAGGAATTTCTCAGATATATATATATATATAAGGTTACTGTGATTTCTCTGTGTATACACGACTACTGGTACTATTGCCGCTACTGTTGCTACTCCTATTATTACTAATACTAACATTTGAGGCCATGGGGTGACCTGAACTAGCGTTCTAGTGATACATCACGTCATTTAAATTTCTTTGCATAATAAATGTATAATATTAGCACTAGTAATATACAATGATATCATTCACAGTACATTAGATACGAGTACAATGTTATCACGGTGTTTATAAACAAGCATTGGCGGAACTCTTCATGGTTGGCGAGGGTGCTGGCTAATTAATGCTTAGTCATCTGATAGACCAATAATCTTATCAATTAAGGAGGTGTGTGCTTGTCGTGTCAATTGCGTAGTTGCTGCTTTAAGGCATTTAACGCAAGGCAGCCACCGACCAATGTTTAAAATTAATACAGGATGACTTGAAAAAATTTGTAAGCATTTTTTGTATAGAAACATTTCACTTCTATATATATTTTTTTATATATACTCAACCAGAGTGTTACCAGTGAGTACGTGCACTTACGCACTCCGACATTATTACTCTATCTGAAAAAGTCTTACCAGTCATGGCACCGTCTTACAAGTCTGTATATATCTATATATAATATATATATTCGAGCACTTTGAGGCTCGAACCGCCGACCCCGCGAGCGTGAGGCAAAAGCTCTATCGACTTTGCTATTTTGCTGTGAGTAGCCTTAACAAGGAAAGATTCCAGAAGCGACTAACCTCTGCCCAGCTGGACCTTCGACTTTCCCCTGACTACTGCTCATAAACTGAGCTTAAGTAGTAGTCGAATCCTTCGACCGGGTTCGAATCCTTCAGAGGTCGAAGAGTTTTCTGATGTAAATTGGCTTGGGGACCATTCATGCTTTATTCACACACTTCACGTGCAGACAGTAAGCTTCCAGTAAGTTTTAAGCTTGAACCAGGGCTCTCCCCAGAGCTATGACTTAACGGAACGGCCGCTACACGAAGAAAGACTAATCCATATACAAGTAACACCAGAGAAGTAAAGAAACACTTAGAGCTGGATGGGATGAACAGCCACCGGCCCTCACAAGATTTCAACCTGGAGCCTAAAAGAGGCAGCTGCAGCACTGTGTGTGCCCCTTGTCTTGAGGTTAGCTTGAGATGATTTCGGGGCTTATAGCGTCCCCGCGGCCCGGTCCTCTACCAGGCCTTTTTTGTTGCACACTACCAGGAAGCAGCCCGTAGCAGCTGTCTAACTCCAAGGTACCTATTTACTGCTAGGTAATTTCATAAAAAAACTCTGCCCATTTGTTTCCGCCTCCACCGGGGATCGAACCCGGAACTTCAGGACTACGAATCTGAAGCGCTGTCCACTCAGCTGTCAGGTCCCCAGGCCCTTGTCTTCAACTCACTAGAAATGGGGGAACTTCCTAACATTTGGAAAGTGGCAGCACGTATGTACAAGGAAGGAGGAAGACAGGAGCCAACGAACACCAGAACAGTATCGCTAACTAGTATTCCTTGTAAGATATTTGGAGTGATTAAAAGAAGGCTTGTGGGTCGTTTAAAACATATAAACTTAGTTCCCGAGCATAAGCAAGGATTCAAGAAGAAAATCCTGGTTGACCAACTTATTTTAGTTCTATGACACGATGACAACCAGAGGAGGGCTGGGACTGCATTTCCTGGATTGCCAGAAAGGTTTTGACACTGTTCCTCACAAGCGACACCAATGCTAACAAGAAAAACAGGATGGTGTACTGGGAAGAGTACTAGAGTGGGTGAAGGAGTACCTTCCAGGAAGAAGACAGATTCACAGTACGAGGAGAACTATCAGAATGGAGAGAGGTAATGACTGGAGCACCTCAAGTTCAAGTATGTTTATTGAGACAATAAAATCTTAAAGGGATAGAGTAGCTCAGGCTATTCCTCACCCCCCCTTGAGTACGTAAAGGGTGGGTACTAAGGCCCATCCTCGTCCTAGTATACGATAAACGAGCTAGCACAGGAAGTAAGCTAATTCTTATCCATGTTTGCTGACGATGAGGCGAAGCTAATGAGGCGAATCATAACTGAGGAGTACTGCCCTACATCTCGAGATACACTAGTGTCGACTCTCAATCTACTTGAGAATGGTCCAGGACGGACCGAAACGTCGTCGTCCCTTCACCTTCTAGTGTGTGGTCTGGTCAACATACTAGTGTCATAAGATAATTTGACCTTTTGATGGTCAAAAAAGGCTGGGCTTGGGAGCAAATGCTCAACCCTGCAAGCAGATCTAAGAGACTACAACTACGTATACTTGAACAAGATGACATCTGAACACGAGGGGATGGGTGGTGATGGAGGGGGGGGGGTGGAGTAGAGTGGAGGGGGGGTTGGAGTAGGGGGGGGGATGGTGGTGTGGGAGAGGGGGGGTGGAGTAGGGGGGATGGTGGTGTGGGAGAGGGGGTGGTGGGTTGAAGCGCCTCACATATACCACATGTGGTCAAATACACGTTCAGCGTAAGGACAGTAGGAAAATGAAGGGAGACAGATGAGGTGGAAGTAAAAGTCAACTCCATTCACAATTTTAAAGACTGATATGAAAGGAGACATGTAGGTCGTGGGGTCTCTCTCTTGAGCTGGACGCCTTGTGTTGGAAAAGCGGGCTCCAGGAGCTGACGCCTGATCCCGCCGTCACAAACAGGCGAGTACACACACGCTACGCAGTCTCACGCACACTCACTGACTGACTGGTAAGTTAACACTAACTTATGTGGTATCCTACCTGTTCTTGGCGAGCCTTCACAGTCATCTGGAAGACTTATCACCTTAAGGATCCCATACGGCAAGATAGTCTTCATACTGGTGGAGAACATTAACCGTGCAGCAACTGGCCTCTCAGAGTCCAGTCACCGTGCTGTGACCTAACATCTTGCCTGTCATCAAGTTAAACACAGATTATCAATTGTGTTATGAAGCCGCAGGAAAATACCTTCAAGAAATGAACTGCAGTTATATCCCGCTTGCAAGCTATCCCGGCGCGTGCTAGCTGGGCTCCCTCAGCACCCGGGTCTCTCGCCTAGTCAGCAGGAACATGCGTTCAGAGCCATAGAAATCATGAGCGAGACAGTTACCTTGGCAGCGCAGCTAGACTGCAACGAGAAACACAAAGTGATTCCAGCGGCTCTGAAAGGCAAAAGTTAAGAGGACTGACCTGGCGGGCTAGGAGAGCAGGGGTGGACAGAGGGAGGCGGAGACTGACCTTGGCTGTGGTATAGAGCTGCAGCATGCGGTTGGACAGCATGTCGGAGGACTTGGCCAGGAGGATGCAGGTGAGAGGGACGCCCACCAGGGAGTACAGTACACAGAAGCGCCTTCCCGCCCGCGTCATGGGCGCGATGTGGCCGTAACCTGCAGGTCCGGACAACAATGCATCAATAAAACATCAATAACGTCCCATATCAGACGAGAAACTAAGATTATAACAGTGATCTGTAGCTCGCGCCTTTAATGCAGCCTTTGTTAGATTGATTGATGAAGATTAAGCCACCCAAGAGGTGGCACGGGCATGAATAGCCCGTAAGTGGTGGCCCTTTTGAGCCATTTACCAGTATCAAGAGATGATACTGGAGATCTGTGGAGGCGCAACTGCACCATGCGTGACGGGAGATGTCTCCCGGACCAAATGGTGACCAAATGGTCAGCCTTTGTTATATATGTATATACATATATACGAGGGTGACTACTGACCTATGGTTGTGACGGCGGTCATGGTGAAGTAGATGGCGTCCACCAGGGACCAGGCCTTGGTCTCCGTCACCTCCTGGATGATCCGCAGGCTGTCTGTACACTCCTCCTCCACCTGCTCCCACCACGCGCCTCCCGCCTCCACCCTCTGCCAAACAATGACAAACTGGTTTAGTGTTTGCTCGTCTTGTCTCTTGCGTTTACACAAGATATATAAATGGCTTGTATATTGTGTACGTTATTGTTAGCCATGTGATATATTTACAGTCACTGAACATTGTAAACAAAATATTGTCAAGATCATTTTTGGTAGTTATTTGTCAAGGCCTAGATGGCAAAAGGTCTAGATTACGTAAAGATAAAACTCTGATGTCAAAAGGTACACATTCAATCAATTGTATATTATAATCACAGGAGACAAACATGATAAAGGCAGAAGCAGCGTGTGGGACACGTGTTGACACTGTTAGCTGGCGTGCACGTGTGCTGTGTTCAACCATCCTCACAGAACACCTGTTACTACCTCAACACTCCTTAGTAACCATACCATAATCCTAAACACAGGCACGAACGAACGCACGCACGCACCCACACACCCACCAAAGAGCCAGAGCTCAATCCCCGCAAGCACAACTAGACGAGTTCTCTCACACACACACACACCCTAGGTCAGAGGTGGGACCAAAGAGCCGAAGTTCAACCGCAAGATTTTTTTTGTATAAATATATAAATCTATTTTTTTCTGTATGTCCATACATAATATAGTGTGTGTGTGTCTGTAGATTTGTCTATTTCTGTTTCTCTCTATTTTCTATTTGTCTATCTTCGTCCTTTACTCTTTATCTCTTCCCCCCCCCCTCTCTCGCCCCCCTCTCTCTCCCCCCTCTCTCTCCCCCCACTCTCTCTTCCCCCCTCTCTCTCCTCTCTCTCTCTCTCCCCCTCTCTCTCTCTCTTTCCCCCCTCTCTCTCTCCCCCCCCTCTCTCTCTCTCTCTCTTCCCCCCCCCTCTCTCTCTCTCTCCCCTCTCTCTCTCTCTCTCTCCCCCCTCTCTCTCTCTCTCTCTCCCCCCCCTCTCTCTCTCCTCTCTCTCTCTCCTCCCTCTCCCTCTCTCTCTCTCTCTCTCTCTCTCCCCCCCCTCTCTCTCTCTCTCCTCTCCCTCCCCCCCCTCTCTCTCTCTCTCTCCCTCTCTCCCCCCCCCCTCTCTCTCTCTCTCTCTCTTCTCTCCCCCTCTCTCTCTCTCTCTTCTCTCTTCCCCCCCCCTCTCTCTCTCTCTCCTCTCTCTTTCCTCCCTCTCCTCTCTCTCTCTCTCTTCCCCTCTCTCTCTCTCTCTCTTCCCTCTCTCTCTCTCTCTCTCTCTCTCTCTTCCCCCTCTCTCTCTCTTCCCCCCTCTCCCTCTTACCTGTAAGACAGCCAACAGCGGGGAAGCTGTAGTGGCGTTATCCAGTTCGCTGAAGTCTGTGCCATTTTCCATTTGACTAAAGGCTAAACAAAACAAAATATACAACTTAAAATACAACTGAACAAAATAAGCAACGTTAAAAATAATAATACAATAAGAATACAACAGCACAAATATCTAAACATATACATTAATTAACTAGCACAAAATGCAACAATACTCAAACATATGCCCAAAAAAATAATGTATTAACAGAAAATAAAAGTTCAAAGTGGTTAAATGAACATAATGAACAGCGAAGAAATCAAATTTGCAAAAAATAAACAAAAGCTCTACATTTAACGTTACTAATATTAACATGGTGAAGGTGCTAGGCTTCGGGGGTCAGTGATCTGGTTGATCACTGCTCTAAGCGTACACTCGGGAATCCTCTCACAGTCTCTACCTCTGATGTGTAGCCTGCACTAGCCTACAACACCTTACACCAACCTACACCAGCCTGCGCTAACCTACACTAGCTTACACCAGCCCGCACCAGCCTTAAATAGCCTCCAACAGCTATTTCAGGCTGTGGTACAGGCTTACACTAGCCTGCACCAGCCTACATTAGCTTACAATCAGATAAATTAACCATTGTATAAGACTGACGCGGCGAGTATATGATTTCGTAAATCAGGGATACTTTCAGTAGGCTTCCAGTAGGATGTCTAAGGTACTTTATAAACAAAACTTAGCCCCTGAACACGGTATCCCAGTTGGGCCACATAAGGCTTCGGTATAAACCTCCAGATCATAATGTCGAGTTTCGACTGACTTGCTGCGGGCCACACAAGTTATCACTGCTCGAGTGAACTTTTTGTTGCGTATATACTGAGAATTGTGCCTTCTATTGCAGGCGTTCTAATCTCATCCAGAACTAGCCTGCGTTCTGATTGATAAAAGCGAACAGTTTACCCTACACTCTCATGGGTCACTTCTGGAGCATAAGTATACTCAAATTCTGAACTAAAGTGTATTTTCTAATTGGTCAATAAGCTATAGCGGTGACCTTAACAACATTCTCGCGATGGATAGGCCTTAGGCCCAACACTAATTATTCTACAATATACACTAGAGGCACTGGGAATTTTTTAGATGACAGAATTTGAAATAGATGAATGGGGGGTATGCTCGGATCATCGGGGGATCGAGTGCCGACCTGCAAGACTCGTGCCCGCCACTCTACCGACCAAACCAAGTGAATGGATATGGACAAACAAAAAAAAAAAGGTGAAATTAAGATACATAAATCCACTACATGTCAACTTGAGGCACTCACGACACAGACGTAGCTCATTACAAGAATACATACTGTGATTACAAGGATACATACTGTGATTACAAGTATACATACTGCTGGTGTTGAAGAGAGGGTGCGGACACAGGACCAGGAGGTTCTCCCGTAGGGCGTACAGCTCCTGCACCACATCACCGGCCGACACCAGCTCTGGTGACAGAGACAAACATCATTATAAACTCCACACACATACGACAATTACATGGAAAAATGGCTATTGTCTAAATGTTCGAATGTCTAGAAAACGTAATTATGATACACAAATTGTACGTTTTCTATGATTCGGAAAAAAATGGCTTAGCGTTCCCGCGGCCCGGTCCTCAACCTGGCTTCCACCCACATACCTAAAGTAAAACTCTCAATATCATCAACAGGTAAAACACATACATGACCCCCCCCCCCCACACACAAGCAGTCATTGCATTAGACAAAAAACGGCTAGAAAAACGGGTTCAAAGAGCCAGAGCTCGATCCTGCAGACCCAAAAAGTCAAGTACACACACACACATCAGGTTAAGGCCCTGTGCTGGTTGGGTGACCAGCCGGATACTATGAGGATGGTGATAAGCCTAATTCACTTCCTATTCCCCACAATAATATCCCGTATCATTTAGCTTGTCGATTAGTGACGTCATGGCTAGGAAGGATAGGTGTTGGAGCATTGTTGTGTTATCGGGTCAGTGGCCATCACAACCGGACCCGATTTACGACCTCGTAAACAAGGACGCGCGGTTACTAACTCCTTTGTTAAGATCAATACTTGCATACACTAAAAAAGATGTCATTCATCAAGACTTAGTTTACAACGTGGAAAAGAAAACAAGATTTTTACCGTGCACTTAAGTATATTTACATCATCAGGGAAGTGATGCAGTTATACTTAATTAAGTGCTTTGAGAGCTCGTGTTGTGCATATATTCATATTCAACATATTCAAGATGATATTCAAGTTATTAAATGTTTTGTAAGTATTCTTTATTACTTTGTTTTCTGTCGTCATGTTTGTAATGAAGCCTTACCCGGAAGGTTGTGAGGCTGCCCACTAAAGTTTTTAATAAAATACTCTAGACTGGAAACCTTCCAAAATTCAGAAAAAATGCAACTGTATTACAGTTGTATTAAAACAAGGAGGAGGGCAGGCAGGAGTCACTAAATTACAGACCAGAATCACTGACACTCATTCCGTGTAAATTGCTGAAAAAGAGTAATCACGCCTAAGTTAATTGAACACCTACAAAGGATAAACTTTAATACCAAGACATTAAAATGGTCCCATATTATATATATATCCTAGAAGGGGTACCACCTCTGGTGCAAGTGTAGGGACCCATAGCCTCGGAGAAGAAAATAAATATTATATATATATTATATATAACACGTTATCAGTACACGGGGGAGGAGACTAACCCAACCTCATCAAGAAAAGAGAGAGAGCCCCAAGGGATAGGTAACGTGTGTGTTTGATAAGGACATCCGTTAATGATATGTGTGGCTGTAGGAGTTATACGTTGCTCTCCAGATAACCAAGGCGTGGCAGAACAAGGTCACAGCTATGAACAACAGACGCGTGCGATTAGGGTGTGGTTAGGTTTAAGTAATGTGGGTTAAGGCTTATCCATCGCCAGGGTTATTTAAGGTCACAGTCTTCTTCGTCTCTTAACTTTCAAGTATATACTTTAATCCACAACAGACTTTAAGGGACTGAACAAGCTTTTATTAGGGCAACATTTTAGGGGAAACTAACAAGAATGTAACGTATTGATGAATGAGGGTAGAAAGAGCCTAAGCTACTCTATCCCTTTGACATGTATTTCTTTCTTGTCTCAATAAACATACTTGAACTTTTATTGTAGAACCCGCTATACTGGAGCTGATATTCGGTCTGGACGAGTCAGACATAAGGGTAGCAACGCTGGAAAATCAGGGAGCAAAACATCACTGATTTCAAGCACTCAACAATTTCTTATAATGAACGAATGAGCAGGTGGTTATCTTGAGATGATCTCGGGGCTTTAGTGTCCCCGCGGCCCGGTCCTCGACCAGGCCTCCGCCCCAAAGAAGCAGCCCGTGACAGCTGATTAACACCCAGGTACCTATTTTACTGCTAGGTAACAGGGACATAGGGTGAAAGAAACTCTGCCCATTGTTTCTCGCCGGCGCCCGGAATCGAACCCGGGACCACAGGATCATAAGTCCAGTGTATTGTCCGCTGGGCCGACCGGCTCCCAGGTGACGTATGTTACCTAAATCCGAGGACGGATAACGCATGTATTGGGAAATTTGGTCATAGGTGTTCGATAATTTAGCAAACAAGTAACATTTATTCGATAGTTTAAGGCAACGGGCCACTGTTGTACGATAAGTCACAACAAAGGTTATATCGTATACACACCAACAGCTGTCAGGGGGAACAAATGAACGCCATCAATGTTTTGGTCACTGATTAGGCTTCAGCTCTTGCACTGTTGGTCATCATCATTTATATACACAGTAAAAAATATATATATTTAGAACGTCTGACCCAGAAATAAAGTAAAAGTAGGAAGAACTTTTTCCTTGTATATGTCGCTGTTGCGAAGTAGGAAGCACTTTTTTTCCTTGTATATGTCGCTGTAGTAGTTAATGAACCTCCATGTTATTTCTTGGAGCCGGTGGCTGAGCGGACAGAACACTGGACGCGTGATCCTGTGGTCCCGGGTTCGATCCCGGGCGCCGGCGAGAAACAATGGGCAGAGTTTCTTTCATCCTGACGCCCCTGTTACCTAGCAGTAAAAAGGTACCTGGGAGTTAGTCAGCTGTCACGGGCTGCTTCCTAGGGGTGGAGGCCTGGTCGAGGACCGGCCGCGGGGACACTAAAGCCCCGAGATCATCTCAAGATAACCTCAAGAATAGTATTATGGACTCACTCACCCAGTAACCGAGTTCTTCCATTCCAACATGCCCAACCACTTGGGTTGGACGGTAGAGCGATGGTCTCGCTTCACGCAGGTCAGCGTTCAATCCCCGACTGTCCAAGTGGTTGGACACCATTCCCTCCCCGTCCCATCCCAAATCCTTATCCTGAGCCCTTCCAAATGCTATATAGTCGTAATGGCTTGATGCTTTCCTCCTCATAGTTCCTTTCCTTCCATTCCAACTTTCTATCAGGGCCTTAATGCCTCTATCCAGAACCAACTCAGATCCACAGGTAAGTTATTAAGAACCGGCAGTAATAGTCAATCCCATGGGGATAAACAACACTAAACGAAACCATTACCATGTGTGCTTAACCACATACACTTATTACACATGTAACCACACATAACACCGCAGGTGTCACTTTCACACAAGACACTACAATACACCCACTGCGATCTTTTATTCCCCGGGTGCGAGGAGGCCACTTCTATCTTTTATCATGCAACACTAGGTTCCTTCCCCGAGCCTTTCCTCTCGGTCCTCACTCGAGAGGAAAGGACTCGAAAAAAGGACTTTCTTCTTCGAGGGCTGACCGGTAAGTCCACCTTTCTCTAAATCACGGGCCAGTCCTCCACAGTATTCCACAGTGTCAAAACACCACTTCGACTCTCCAGCAACAAGCAGGCTGGCTTACCCCTATAAAAAAATTAACTTAAAGGACAGACAAACATTAATACATCTAGTAACTCAACTGGGCCATGGTGGGATACGTCGGTGTATTCACCAAATACGGGGGGGGCCTGCCAGGGGCCAGATTCACGAAAGCACTTACGCAAGCACTTACGAACCTGTACATCTTTTCTCAATCTTTGGCGGCTTTGTTTACAATTATTAAACAGTTAATGAGCTCTGAAGCACCAGGAGGCTGTTTATAACAATAACAACAGTTGATTGGGAAGTTTTCATGCTTGTAAACTGTTTAATAATGTAACCAAAGCCGTCAAAGATTGAGGAAAGATGTACACGTTCGTAAGTATTTGCGTAACTGCTTCGTGAATCTGGCCCCTGACCTGGTGAGTGACAGGGTTCGGATTCGTAATCCTAAGAGTCGGGTTCGATACCAGGAGGAGGCAGAAACAAATGGGCAGTTTCTTTCACCCTGATGCGTCTGTTCACCTAGTAGTAAACTAGGTACCTGGGAGTTAGACAGCGGCTACGGGTTGCTTCCTGGGGGTGTATGTGCGTGAAAATTAGGCTTAAGGACTTGCCGGAAACACTGTGCACTAGTTAGTGGCCGTACAAGAATGTCAGAACTCTTATATATGTTAATAAAACACAAATTACTATTTATCACAGACAAATGAGTCTCAACCGACTCGGCCCACTTGTTCCCACTGACACAAGTCTTGACTTCAGTACTGCCCTGGATGAACTGACTCTTGTCGACCAAGATAACATTTCACTTTTAAGGTGTAAACAATGTATAATAAGAAGGAAACTGCACATGTGCCAGTAAGATCACAGCCTTCCACTGAGGAACAGAAAATGGGGTCGGGTACACTCAGCAGATGGCGCTGACATCGTCACAACTCGTAATATAGCATTGTATGCACTAGCTCTATCTATAAATCTATCAATTTTTGTAAAACCTCTTGTAAGTATGTACTTTACCTGAATAAACATTTATTTATTTATTTTTATTATTAATGAAACATTTCTTGGAAGAAAAACTCACAAAAGCCCTAATTTTAGTGTTAAAAAAAGAAGAGCTTTAATACCACTGACATAATGGACTGTACTCACCTAGTTGTGCTTGCGGGAGTTGAGCTCTGGCTCTTTGGTCCCGCCTCTCAACCGTCAATCAACAGGTGTACAGGTTCCTGAGCCTATTGGGCTCTATCATATCTACACTTGAAAGCTGTATCCCGGAAGGTAAGTAAACATGAGCGAGGTTATGTTGATTAAGGCAAGGCTGCCCCTACTTAAAACACCCGGTCGCCTGCCACTTAGGTAAGTGTGCCACTTAGGTAAGTGTGCCACTTAGATAAGTGTGCCACTTAGGTAAGTGGCCTGAACGGAGCCCTCCAACTCCTAGCAAGTGACTGGGGCCAGATTCACGAAAGCACTTACGCACGCACTTACGAACCTGTACATCTTTTCTCAATCTTTGGCGGCTTTGTTTACAATTATTAAACAGTTAATGAGCTCCGAAGCACCAGGAGGCTGTTTATAACAATAACAACAGTTGAATG